GAGAGAGAGAGAGAGAGAGAGAGAGAGAGAGAGAGAGAGAGAGAGAGAGAGAGAGAGAGAGAGAGAGAGAGAGAGAGAGAGAGAGAAGCTAGACAGAGAGAGGGAGAGAGAGAAAGAGCATTTCAACATGTGGAATCCATCGGTGCTAAACTACAGATCCACGTCGGCATCACACGTGCATGTGCCACAGAGTGGGTGGATTCGAAAGTGCACACCACTGCCGCAGACAGGGAACTGTGGATGCCAATCGTGCAAGGGTAGATAGTGCTGTAGCCCGCCTACGCAGACCCTGGCCCATGGCCATTTGAGCCCCCAGAACTGGCTGTGTCTTCACCTTTCCTGTAGCCCCCGCTTTCGCAGCCCAAAAACAGGGCATGTCATCCAGACTCTTGCTCCTTCTTCTAAAAAGGGCGACGACGTAGAGGTATCATCGTTGAACTGGCCGGCCCCAGCAAATTTATTTATCAACAGTTCATGGGTGCGTACCATTCAGCCACCCCTCAGCTTGGTAACTCTAGTCCTCTTAGTATCAGTCTGGATTGTATGTCTCTTCCTTCGTCACTTCTGGTTTAGTTTTCTTTCATCTGTTTTTACCCTTCATGATCCAGGAACTTGCAGGGCAAAACATGCTGTTGTCCGCCTAGGAAGACCCTGGTTGATGGCCATTTCCTGTCCCACAACTAGCTTGTCACAAGTGTGGACTGTACTTCTCTCCCTTTGTCACTTCTGTTTTCTAGTTTTTCTCCCTTCTTTTTGCCCTAATCAATCGAGGAAAAAGTATTTCGGTGCACATAATTGCCATGCAAGTATCCAATATGTAGATATTAAAGGAAAGCAGGGCAAAGCTGTGGCATGGTGGGGCTCTGCGTGTGCAAGTACGCATGTGCCCAGGTGTTAGTGAGCTGAGTACACGTAGGTACATGTGCAAGTGCGGAAATGTGCAAATGCACGATTGGGCATAAGAAAGTGCATGCATGTGTGTGAGTATGCACCCACGAGTGTGCCTGCTTGTCTGTTGGGCCCTACATCTTTTTCATTCAGTGGCTGGCAATATCTTCTGCTAGCAAAGTCTTGGTTTGCCTTTTTATTCTTTGGAGAGGGGAAGAGGTGCGGAGGGGGGTCGCGGCCGTGGGAGGGGTGGTGGGGGGGGGGGGGGGGGGGGGGGGGGGGGGGGGGGGGGGGGGGGGGGGGGGGGAGGGCATGCAATTTAGCTAGTCCTTGGAAGAGCTCCGACCGTTTGGAATCAGGCACATGGTTGATGGTCAATCCAACCCTTTAAAACGTCTTTCTCACTTTTGCTGCCTGTGAACTTCGGCAGAAGTACCTCCCTTCCAATTTTAACGGATGTCCCAAATGCTTGTTTTTGTTTCTTCCTTTTTACTTCACTATTTCTGCCAAGCTCACCGGGAGACTGATATCTTCACATTACGGATTTTCAATGCATGACCCTGGGAGACTGATATCTAGACATTATGGATTTTCAATGCATGTTGCACACACCACGACACCACTGTATTCACCCCACAATGCCACCCACTATCGAGTTTCCTTGCCCACCACAACTCTCACTCCCCGCACGGACATCAGCTGGGAAGAGAAACATACGTGTTGGATGCCTTCGCATCTAGGAATGCGGCCTCGGTAGCTAATTGCCTGATGCTAGATCGCCGTTCCATTTCATCTTTATCAATTATCGGTTGTCCACTGCCTGCTGTATCAACCTTGCCACTGCTGGTCCTCGTTACAGTGAAACCTCTCGAATGGTCATCAGCACCTGTGCTCCCAGAACTCCCCTTGTCTTTCTCATTGCCTCTCTCAGCAGCAGCACCATGGCCAGCAACACCTGCTGGGTGGCTTGCTGAAGCCATCTCCCTCGTTGCCTCTCCTCCTGCCACATCAAGCATGCCATACGGACCAGAAGGGTGGTTTAAGTACAGCATACATGAGAAGACGCTCCTTGTCAACTACCTCAAGCTTGAAAGTTGCAACCCTGAGAAAAATACAAAGAGCCCAAGCATTCCTTTTTCCATTCTGCAAACAGATTCATTTAACACCGGTCACGACCACCTCAAGCCCATCCAAAAGAGGTGCCAAGATCCAAACACTCTGAAGGGAAGAAGACATTGAGAAAACAGCCCCCCCCCCAACACACACACACACACACATGACGTCTACAATTGTTTTCCTTTACTTGCAGTGGCAGTCCGAACGAGCAAACAGTTGGCTCAATTGTCAGTCAGCAGTGAAAATGGCATGGCATCCAATTCGCAAAGTTCAAAGGCCGACTTGAAGGGAAGGCAACAGCACTGTTTTGCACAACGTAGCCGAATAGCAATATAGGTAGTTTGTCTGTCCGGCCCAGATGTCTCACAGGGTTAACCTGGGCAAGTCCAAGGAATCCTACCCCAGAAATCCAGACAAGTCAGAAACGGCCCATGGAGACAGCATATCAGGTTAAAAGCTGTGCGGTCACTTTGGGCATGTTGAATGAAGCCCAAATCCGAGGCTGTTTCTAAAAGAACTTTTTGAGCTCCAAAGGGGAAGGGGTAAGAAGTGGGACCCTCATCTACAAAATATCGTTTCCACACCCGGAAAGCTGAAATCTTCAAAATTTTAAATTCTGTGCACCCTGACAGGCATGTTGTGCAGCCCAGCAGTCCTGGTGTGAATGCACACAGTTAAAGTCCTGCAGGATATCCGCCCAGAGTACCTCCAACTGCACACTATTCTAACATTATGAGATTATATATGCCTCCTCTTCCGATGTCCTCGCCGAATAGGATAATCTCTGTTGATAACATCAAGAATCTCAATGCTGTTATTGATTACATTGTTACCAATTCCTCCTTCGCTATAGAACACTTAGCGAATCCCTACAATTAAAAGTCTTAAACCATGCTTTTCTGTACTTGACATAAGAAATACGCTGAAGAATGTATGAAAAAAAGATAGTAATTTATTACGGAAACTTTCAAAGGAAACATTTCAATGCCGGATTTTCATCTCGCGATTATTCACACAGACAAATCAATCACCGTGTGGAAACTTCAAAGTGAACACTCCTCAGTACTGAATTAACCATTCGCAAAGGTTAGAACAAGGGGCATACAATGCAAACAGATTTCACAAACAGGGACTAGGAGAGCAAAACCATTGACTGAGTGCTAGGACATATCAACTCGAATTCTTCTTAACAAACCTGGAGAGAGGTATACTCACTTGACTCAGCACCACTTCCTCTCGTATTCGGTCCACCAGCAGAAGCATCACTGCTTTTAGTTGATGAGGGCAGAGGAGTAACACTGCAACAGACGTCAATAACAGCATACTGCATGAGTTATTTTCCAAAACCCTAAGAGGGCAACTGCAACTGCATGATCTGTTGTTAAGTCAAAGTCTCATTTTCACATCAGCAACAGGGAGCGGAAATGCTGGTTATGATCCCCAACATCTCAATGCCAAAAGCATACCAGCTATGTCAGACTTAAACCACCAGTACGTTTCCCAGCCATTTTTTCAGAGATGCAATGTGCATGCTGTCGCATCGGGCAGGATGTACTGCCGTTTCAGTGGACATCCACCCAGCCAAAACCGGTCGCATGCCAGGCCCGTTTTGCTTGGGTGGATGTCCAGCGAAATGGTGTCGGCGCCATGCACGCCGTGTCCCTGAAAAAATGGCTGGGAAACATACTGGTCGTTTAGGCAAACTCCACCCCACCAAATTATGTGGGAGATAGGGCCATCATACGAAGTGGAATGTAGAGAGCACAAATTTTCGCTGACATGTCAGAAACACACCCCCTTAAAACCGCCAACAGGCAAATATATTAACAAAAGAAGCAGACATATTGTGGTCATAGAACTTGTCATGCCTACACACAGCGGCCTTTGGCCCCACACAAAGCATACCTATCCAGAGCTGTGAGAGCCACAAAATGCGGCTTCCAACACCACTTCCTATGATATTATATATAGAGTATTATAGACCAAGGAGTTCTTCCCACATCATAAAACACAAGTTACCCTCTTTTCCCTCTTCTCCGACAAATGGCAGTTTTCTTGTTTGATGGCCAAGCGGATAGAAAAGGAGAACGGAGGAGAGAGGGATTTCCTGCACACGAGGTTGTGCTGAACTTGCGCACTTGCTAGTAAGTTGCTACCAATGGTTTGGTGGTGTTCCCTCAACAAACAGTCAATCGTTGCTCATTGATGTGGACTTCCTGAAGACAGTTGTCATCCATAATCGTCTGCCTTTTTGCAAAAAAGGCTGCCTTGTTCACTGTCATAGTCCAACCAAGAAGCCAGACCCAAGGACTATCCGTAAGCTTCTGGGAGCAGCAAACAAAAGCAAGGGAACCAACCCATAACCAGCAGAAGAAGTCTGGAAGGCGGATCAGCAAGTACAACAGGCCAGCGACACAGCACATGCTTCACACTCAATGCGAAGCGGTGCTGCAATCTCATGCATAGGCGAGTGAGCGTAGGGCAGCGCAGTCAACGGCGCTGGGCGCCATAGCAATAGCTGTAGTATGCCACAGTGAGAGAGAGAGAGAGAGGGAGAGAAAGGGTTGAAGACTGTGAGAGTGAGAGCAGAGAGAAAGAAATGTGTGAGAGAGGAAGAAGAGAGAGAGACTTACCTCCATGTCGAGTTGGGCATCCATTGCTGGAGGTGACGAAGAAGACAGCTAAGTTTGGTATGGCCACTGAGACTATTTTTGGACCTCGTACTTCCTGTGTGTCTCATGTTTGTGTGATGTGATGTGAGACTTGTCTTCGAGTGTTCCATGCAAAGTGGTCTCGTTGCACTGTATATGTTTGAGCTTTAATCGAGAGTCCTGCTTAATTTTAATAAAATGTTGTGCTTTACATGCAATTGATTGGTGAACCCAGAATTTGCAATGCCATGAATACTCTGTACGAGTTTTGATCAACGGCCATTATTCACCGCCTAGAATCTAGATGCAATAACCATATCTACGAGAGGAAGGCAGGCTTCTTTCTACCCCGGGGGGGGAGGGGGCGAGAGAGGGAGGCATGTGCACATCATTATTCTGAGCCAGCTATCTGATTCCCCATCCTTCTAGGCCATGTATTCGCCATATGAATTTAAGATGAGGTACTTAGCACTGGCATGGTACACACCCCATTGATCGTCTTCCAGGTCGAATAGGAGGCAAAGGCCCCAACAGTGATGATCGTGTGGTGCTCCGCTGATCCTCTGCACTGCTTGCCGGGGCATCAGCTGCATGAACCTCACTCCGCTGTTGACGACTGTCAACCTGCTTGCCAGCATCAACAGCTGGCCTTTCCTGATCGGGAGCATGGTCTGCTACTACATCACTGCCAGCGCTGCTTGGCACAGCCCCGTTGGAATGCGTTCGCTGTACCTGCAAAAGGCATTACCACTGTAAAATGTCATCCAACCCCGCTCAAGCACTGTAGAATGCCAGCCAATCTCTGCAATAATAACAGTTCTTTTTTCCTATTGCTAACATAATATTGTGCAAAGAACCCAGCATAGACACACTGCTCACCTAATGCCAATTGATTGCTCACCTAGTGTCAATTGATACCCGCTGATATTCTGAGCATATACCAACTACCCATCTTCATTAAGCCACCAGTTCAGTACACCTGGGCCTGCGCACGCTGCACTGTGCCAAGCTTTGCCGAACCACTGGCGGCGCACTTTTTTTTTTTTTTGGGCTGGCAGCCATTGTGGTCCTGTAGCCCCGACCCTCCAAATTTTTCTTTCAAAAACATTTGGACTCTTTTTTCATCCCATTTTCAGAGCATTAAGCTACTTACAGTGTCTGCAGATCACTGGGCTACTTACAGCGTCTGCAACTAGGAAGCCATATATATCACCTGATGTCACTACTCCAAAGAAAACCCACAGATGTCACATAAAAAGCCTCTGAGCCTGCTAGAAATTTGCTGGGGCCAACTGTCGGGGGGAGCCGCCTTCCCGTGGTCAGTGCCAGTTTTAACTGGTTTCCTTTGAACAGTTCTTGGAAGTAACAGCCAAACTGGACTCTGGAGGGCTTTCCTATGGTCCCCTAATTTCTGGAGGCCTTGCTACAACTACGATTGCAGCAGCACTCCACGAACAGGCCATGCAATGGGGTATTCATGACTAGAGTTGTTCCGTTTCAGTTGTGCGCGTTGTTGGCCTTGCTCTGCGAGGTGTGTGGAATCAGTGCATCCAATCCTGACAGCAGTATGCACTATTTCAGAAGGCACGCCGAAACCACGTGTAGCTAGCAAAACATGGCTTCACACTACAGCAAGCTAGACGCTACAGTAATACAGACACTGCAAGTCCAGTCTTATACACACCATGAGAAGATGGTGTGGATGGGTGTAGAGAACATCATCAGGAGTGATGAAACGTAGACTTTGCCTGGACCACGCCATCAAAATGCTCTCAACAGAGGTATTCCTGCCCACATTGCAGTCGTACATCAGCTGGATCATGGATTACATCCACTTCGCAGATGGTGCGCTCGCCGTGAGAGGCGGAATGAAAAGATCACAATGTCTCTGAACAAACAGCTTCCAGTATAACGTGTGTGCTACTGACTGGGTTTGTGTCCATCCAGCCAGTGATGATCAGGGCTGATTCAAAGAGAGTGTCCAGGAGCTCTGGGTCTCTGTCAAGACAGCCCGTGATGCTGAGGGCAGATTCAAAGAGCAAGTCAAAGGGTAGCAGAATGTGGTCCCTACACCGCACACCATACTGGTGGCAGCTCTTCTGCATTCTGCACTTATGGAACCTCCTGTGACCACTCAGCCTCCAGCTCGGGCTGCAGTATTAGTGCATCACCCCATGACAATGGCAGATCTCTTGCCTACCGCTCCTCTCTATTCTGCACTTCAGACATATCATGGCAGCTCATGCTCCCGCTCAGGCTCCAGTATCGGTGTGTTACCCCACATCGAGAGAATGGGCTCCATCATGGATGTGATCGGAGGAGGCCAACATGGCAGGACAGACATAAGACATGGATGGGGAGGATGCTGGCAGTGAAGGTAGTCCACACAGCAGATACACATACGGTCCAGGACTGCCTGCTGAAAACAGGTGTGATGCATGGCACGCTGCTGGCATGCCAGAACAAACAGATGGCGGGCATTGGCAGTCATTCAGAAAGAAACAGACCCTTCGCTTTTTTCATTGGGCCAAGCCACACTTAACAATGACTTGTAATACCAACAATGACAACAACGACAATAATGCCAACGATGACAACAACGACAACGACGGCAATGATGACAGCAATGACAGCAATGGCGACAATGACAAAACAACAACGGCAATAATTATTGAATAATATCAATTCCTGGCATTCCCTGCTGTATATCGTGGATCATTCATTTGTGAAACCCATAGCGATTCCTGTGCACCGCTTGTTCCACATTCTGTGTATAGCCTCAACGTGACACTACATTGTTGAGTGATTACCTCCATGAGAAACCACAATCCCACCAATCTGCATCATGTTGCCAGTGACCACAAACAAACAGACACAATTCTACCTATCATTCCTATCTTCATCCAGGGATAATCTAGCCGTTTTACCATTCCAAGGATGAGATATGACTCTCCTACCCTATACTTGTATGGAACAACAACTCACCATCACAGCATCTTGGCGAGACTCCTGCTGAGTTCTTGAAGGTTTATCCTCCGTCCCCATTTTCTTGCCACTACACTCGACAAACAACCCAAACCACAAAAAGAGTTATTGAGCTCAGAAACCTCATAGCATAAAACTAGGAAACGAAGGCGAAAAGCTAACATCTGGCAGACTTGCCAAAGGAGAACAGATCGAGCCTTGCAATGACATTTGAAGGGGCACAAGACGTGTTAGGAAAGGAGCAACGGCATGGCCTGTTACGAACGGAACAAAGGATGACAGAAAAGACCATGATGACACTCAGGGAGTTGAGAACCAAAACTCACAGAAAAGGCCATCAGGTCCTCACATCCAAACCTCCACCAAGTTGAATTCCAAAAAATGACAGGCACAGGGAATGTCAAACTGGCAAAGAGCCACATAGGGAGAAGACTTTGGTTGGGTTCTGTGCAGTGCTACCATCGTGCTTCAAGGACTTTACCTCTATGTGAAATGAGCATTGACCTGGTGATGGTGGGGATTGCAACACCAATGGCCAGGAGAGTGACAGGTGTTGACGATGATGACGATCGTGAGAACCACGATGATAATAATGACAAAACTAAAGAGTTGCAACCATTGAGAACGTCTACATTTCATTACTTTGACAATGGGAGTCATCATGATAATAGTGAAGATGATAATAAGGATGATGATGATGATGATGATGATGATGATGATGATGCAACTTTGTTAATTTTGCTGTTGCAATATTGCGGTGCAACCTGTTACTAACTTACTACCCATGCCTCACCATATTCCGACCATGAAAAGGTGCTCCCTGTGACTGGGTCTTTGTAAAATTGACCTCCCACAGGTGCAGTTAAAAATATGTGGCGAACAGCTGAATTAGGAATACTTGCAAGTAAAAAAAAAAAAAAGGAATACTTGCAAGCACTTCAACATTAACAAACACCAAAAATTATTGTCGATTTTATCTGGCGCGAAGGACTTGCAGCCTCTGCTACCTGACCTGTACTGGTCATATTATCCAGGGCATACATCAAAGAAATACGGGCAGGACACAATGCATCCAGATTTTGTGAGGGATTAGACATTCAAAAACAAAATTTCAATTTCTCAGGTCAGAATGGCCAGGACACCACTGTGCGCAGTCCACACAGCACAAAGCTAGGGTTTTCATGCTCTCATGGATCATGTGTGCAGGGTTTGGGAGAGAGTGGCAGTAGGTCAGGGGAGAATGTGAGGGATATTCGTCCTAGTCCTGCAGATCGAGACCATCGGTCCTGAGCACCCGGCCAAGAAGTAATTTACTCACTTCCTTCAAGGCACAGGAAAAGCGTGCATAACCAGCGCCCTTACCATGAAAGCTACTACCAAACAGGCACCTGAAGGTAGAATAAAACAACTTGGGATTTGTTCCCCGTGACTAACCAGCATCGTAATCTACTGCTAAGGCTCTGCTAGTGAATTGTTGAGGTCACACATCCACTGAGCACGGTGCACTGCCGCCTAAAGCATGCAAACTGTACACATTGTCTCAGAGGCAAGAGCAGCCCCGTAAAGCATGCATGCAACATAACCCCCACAATATATACTCGCCATCCCCCGCCCCCTCCAAAATACCCCACCCCAAAAACAAAAAAGAAAAAAAACAGTTGTCAAGCATCGGTGACTCAGTATTCATGTGTACCTCAGAACCCGACACCAAACACCAGACGGTGTGGAATGCATACAGATTATCAATCTGATCAGGATACCAGATCAAACTTGTTTTGATTTCATTCAAATTCATTGTGAATTTTGACATGACCCTCAGTCAAAAAGTTGTCTGTATTGCAATGTTCCAAAACACCTTTTTCTAAGTTCTTTTTACTGGAATTCAAAAACAATATGACAATATGTTGAATCTAATCCGAACTTCTCCAAACGTCCGGATGCAGACACCAGACCGCAGAAACTCTGGACCCTGGCCCAGGACTCCTATGCTAGCCATGAATGGTTTCCTTCAAGAGGTACGGAAATCCAAAGGGCGGTCTTCAGAGTCCATGTCACATCGATGTGATAGCCAGAGAGGGACTCTGCAAAAAACAGACCCGACAAAACACTGCGAGCATCAAGAACACAGGTTGCTCATCAATGACCGACCTGTGGCCAGCACTTTCGATATTTCTGCCATGATCTTGGCCGCCGTTCTCCGCACCATCATGCGCTCGTAGGCCACTCCAGGCCTTTGGATTTGGGATCACCACTCTGTGGCCACCATGACCGTTCCTTATCACCCCACTATGCAAAGCCACCTGGTCAATCCTTGACAAAGAGAACACCAGCATCCACAAATCAGAATTCACTTTGCCCAAAGGAAGGCACAGACCAAGACAGGGGAGAGCGTGACGTCAAGGGAGACAAAATGACAGGACACCAGGTAGAGAAAGCAAAGCACAAATGTGACAGCAAAGATGNGGGAGAGCGTGACGTCAAGGGAGACAAAATGACAGGACACCAGGTAGAGAAAGCAAAGCACAAATGTGACAGCAAAGATGTGGGCCAAAAGGTTAGATTCTCTAAAGGGGGAGAAGGGAGGAGAGGAAAAGGGGGAGAGGGAAGGAGAGGAAAAGTTGAGAGAAGAAAATGTGAAGATAGGAAAGCAAAGAGGAAGACAAAAGGAACAGAGGAAGAGGAGAAAAACAGATTTCAAAAAAGAGAAGATATGGGCCAAAAGGTTTGTTTCTCTAGAGGAAAAGGGGGAGGGGATAAAGAGGAAAAGGTGAGAGCGAAATATGTGGAAAAGGAAAAGCAAAAAGGAAGACAAGAGGAACAGAACAGGAAGCCAGAGGAAGAGGAGAAAAAAACAGAAAGAGAAAAGCAAGCTGGAAAGAAAGTTGCACCAACGCAACTGTATGTAGTACTATGAACTCATCGACTTCATTACCATCCTCATGACAAAGACAATAAAAACTAAAGCAAACAAATCTAAAAAGACCTAATGAGAATGAAAGATTTGATGGGAAAAGAAGATCACATACAGACTATGATAATAAGGTAACTCTAAGAGAAGGGGTGCGCAGCCCCCGACATTGTCATATCCATCAGCACTTCACCTCATAATGTGTTTATCAACAGCTACATGGGTTTGTACCATTCAGCCACAAGGCTGGGTAAAATCAGATCACTTTCCGTCCCTCGTATGGAGCCCTTTGGGGAAGACATAACCAGGGGTTAGAAAAGAAGTTAAAACTTAAAACCTTCTGCTGCGGGTTGGATGAACAAGCAAGAAGAGAGCAGCAAAAAAATTCATGACAACGCATAATGCAGAAATAAAGAGAAGAGGGAGAAGGAAGTCAGTCACCAAACAAGGGAGCGTAGAACACAACAATGAAAGGGTACGACCGTAACCGAGAATGGCAGGCAGGCGGAAAAGAAGCGGAAGACAGGAAATCGAACAGGTGGAGGGACAGCAAGATAGAAGGAAGTCAGTCAAACAAGGGAGTGTAGAATGCAACAATGAAAGGGTACGAACAAAACTGGGAATGGCCAGCAGAAAAGATGCAGAAGACAGGAAATCGAACAGGTGGCGGGATGGCAAAGAGAAAAGATTTAAAAACAAAGGACAGGGAGAAGGAAGTCAGTCAAACAGGGGACTGCAAAAGAGAGAGGATTTAAAAACAAAGGACAGGGAGAAGGAAGGAAGTCAAACAAGAGAACTGTGGAATGTGACAATGAACAGCTATAAGCGTAGCAGGGAATAGCAGGCAGTGGGGTTGTGACAAACGGGAAACTGAGCAGGATGGAGGGAAACATCAGGGCTCTGCTGAAACTTTGAAACGGATGATAATACCATCTTGCAGTAAGACTCTAGAATAATTGCCAGCAAAGGCCTCGTTGAAAAGTGCCCGCTTTCCACCATTGAAGGAATTCCCAGCTCCTCCTCCAGCTCCACACGTTTTGGGTACTTCGATTGCTACAGACATATGCACAACTTTCAGTCAGGAAAATCCGGAAAGAGGCATGTGATTCACACTGTATCAAAAGCAGAGTTGCACAAACAAGGTCAGTCCAACATAATTCACCATATGCCATGATGAACCTTTCGTATTTAACGACTTCCCGCACCCACGAGAAACTGTCGTCTTATGCTGAATAGAGAATGACTCTAAGACTTGCGCAAACATTCTTACAGGTTCTCTCCCACGATATTCGCGTTCAATGTAAATTGGGATATTCACATACTTCATGGGTCACAAAGAGTCCGCATAACAAAGCAAATGCAGAGGGAAACACACTGACCCAGAAGATAATGATTTGGATGATTTTAACGGCGCGGTATGAGCAAGTCAAACAATAAGCGCAAATTTACGGGGAAAATCACAGCAATCCACCTTCAGCACACGTATTACCCATACTTGCAGCGCATCGACGTGCACTGCACCGCGCACACGTGCCGCACTGCGCACAGCGCACGATGCGCGCGCACGGGGTGCAGCGCACCCCGAAAATAAAGGGTCAAGGAGAAAGAAAAAAAAGTTGGGGAGGGTTTTTGTAGACCCGAGTGGGATGTCGCGTCATAAACCACAAAAAAATATTAACAGAAATTTGAGGCCGCGCGGGACCTCCGAAAAAAAAAGGGGGGAAGTTCATTTTTTTGTTTGCGTGTGTGTGTGTGTGTGTGTGTGTGTGTGTGTGTGTGTGTG